CACTGAAACCTTCTGAATACTTGTCTACATCAGCAAAATGGTAATAGTATATAATTAATTCACTTAACATTAGTGACAGAAACACTGACAGTGAGGTTGTACTGGTTGGATGGTACAAAGGCAACTCAGATAAGATTTTCTGATGTGCTTGTCTGTTGGTATGGTTCCGCATCTGTCACGACGTAGCCTGCGGATCTCTGCCGCTAGAGGGCGACTGTCCCTGCTACACTGTTCCAGATAATGCTTTGTTTGTTTATTACCATGACGCGCTGTAATTTTACAACATTTTCTTTGAAAACTGCCTGGGTGAGGTCGATGCCTGTCGTTAGGTCGGTACAACTATAAGTAATGTCATTATTCTGACGACATTTTGTTCGCTGCTTTAAGAAAACAAGGAGTAGAGCAATCCTTGAAATAATCTTGTCTATTTGGAGCAACGATTTTGAAGAAAATATCCTAGAAGGATAAGAAACAAACCAATTCGACACAAAGCAAGGCCGGCACGAAATGAAGCAGATGTTATTAGCTATCGAGGAGATGAATTCGGCTAAAGAAATAACAGTCGCTACAATAGAAGCAAACTTAATAAAGAAAGTGCGAACAAACGAGAACAAAAAGAAAAAGTATTGAAAACAAACATCTGTCGCGAACCGAACTAAATGGAACCGACGTTAGGCGGCGCTCTCGCGGGCCAATGTTTTACACAACGTTTTGTGTAATACTAGTAGGGACCTTTGAGGAACCGAACATGATTTTACTATCATTACTATAAACATGGGTTAGTAGATTACATGAATTCGTGAATCTATTTTAGCCATACCAGAGCTTGCAACAGAAGACACCTGTTGACACCTAGCAATTAGACTATACAATGTTTCATTGGACATTGATGCTAATATTTACAGTAATTTATATTTGTACATGACGCAATAGTTCAGAGGAGTATGAAGTTGAGATAACTTAGTGCTCATTGCAGCCCAGTCCATGACCATGAGTGCATAATGAAGTTTCTCGAACCAGCCACCAGCAGGGGGTGAACGTTAACGTTCATACAGTTAAGCACGTTAATGTTAGGTCTGTCCCCGCGGGCGCCGGCGGGAGCGGAGGCGCGGGGGGGGGGGGGGGCGAGATTACAACACTATTAAATTTGGGGATGAAAAATGAGGGTTGTGTTTGATTTCGATTTGCGAACACAAACGAAACTATTTATCCTTTGAAGATTAAAAGGGTTTGGAATTAAAAAGCTATTTATTCTGAATGGGGACTGGAATAATGACACACCTACAGAGCAATCGCTTTGATTGTAATATTTTGTGTAAGTTGGGACAATCCTGTGAGGGACACTCAGGGGTTGTTGAATGGTGCTCGTTATGCATCGATAGTCTATTGTGATGTTGCATAGTTATATTACATGGACATTATCAAAAGGGCAGATTTATTTCGGTTTCACCATAGTAGAGCATGAACGGTAACCGACTTCGTCCTGTAAAACATAAGGTTAGCGACCTGTTTTTTTCCGAATAATATGTTTAGTGAATAAACGTAAACAATGGAAGTACTATACCTATAGACGTGACATACTCGTCTTCCAAAACATCACAAAACACGTCTCGCAACAAAAGCGATGAAACAACAAATAATAAATTAGCTGAACTCTTTAAAAGACATCGCGTCGTAAATCACTGCAACAGAGATACGGTTGTAATGCTCGTGTCCACGATATTGAAGAGGAATGCAATATGTGTAGCTTAATATAGTGTATTCAGCACGCAGAATATCTCAGTGCCACACTACTATATAACTACGTGTGGTCCTTGTAGAGAAGATCGAAATGACATTAATGTGGCACTTACTAGGTCCGGGTACCTACAAACTTATTTTGTTACTAAATGTAATAAGTCAAGCTGATCCCACTCGTAGCCCATTGTGCCCTCTGAGGGTAATTTAATACATTTGGGCTGGAGCTAATACTGGTTATGGCCTCCTATGTCACCAGGGCACAATAAAAAAGTGACAGGCACGCTTTCATGCGACGCGGCAAGTGGCGTCAAGTAGCAAAATCCGACGTAAAGCGTCGTCGCCATTGTGAGATATACAATGGTCGGTAATGCACGCCTGCTAATGGCTCATTTACATTATTCAAAGCCGCGGGATGCGTTACATGTCTCGTCTAATGTCATGCACGGAGGACAGCTCGCCACAGTATGCCTAACTAAGGCAATGCATATTATCACTACTAACACAAATTCATCCGTACAACACAATTTAATCGAGCAGTTCTACTCGTTAGGGTATTTTATGGACAACCCTTATTCCGAAGTGCGGAAGTCGTATGACCGAAGTATTGAGTTTGGTCGTTTCCCTGAGTGTGTAAGGTCCCGGCCGTGATGTCAGCGGCTACAGCGCGTACAATGTACGGAGCCAGCAGTCGGCAGCCGCACATAGTTCGCGCGAGCATAAAATACCGCGCCGAGTTGTTGAACCACTGCTTTAGAATTAACTAGTCATTAAGGTTCATTAGTCACTGCACGAGTTCATTAGTCAGAGTAGGGTTTAGCGGTGTGCTCGCTGGAGCTTTGAAGGTAGCTGTGAAAAGTTACCCCTCTTTTGATTAAAGGCGAAAAAGATCAACTTAACTCGGCTCAAGTGTAGTGGAGACAATATTTTGACGAAGTAATTTCAATTTTATTATTCTAATTTTACACTGATCTAGTTAAATAACACTTCAATACAAAATAATTTTATTTTCAATATAACAAAAAGGATTCGAAGCGTGTTTGTGGTTAACGAGGCGAGGTGTGTTATTGAAACATAAAATAAGGTTTATTACTTGCGGGGCAGTACAGACACAGAGGTCCTGGCGAGGGACGAGAGCGTGAAACACTCAAACACATCGAGTACAATACACGGCTCGTTGAAAACATTCGTGTGACTAATGTCGGTTAGATACGGTGAGTATGGTGAGCCGCGACTGATGCAGGACTCTTTACTGTTAATGTAACACATTCGGCTGGGGAACTAACTACATTTCACGGAGACAATATTTATTTTTAACCCTTATCATATTATGATCACTTGCCGTTTGACACTTTTGATAACAATTCAAATTATTATGCTATCTGGCTAAATAGGCAAAGTCGCAGTGGACAGGCAAACTATTTCGGTAGTACAATAGCAAAAACGTAGCTGTATAACAGTGAGCAACATTAGTAAGCACCACGCAACGCAGTGGAGTCTCCAGCTGAGACAATAAAGGGATTTTCTCAACCGTTTCGCCAAGCCCCGCGCTGCCCGGCTCGCCGCTCGCCGGCTGTCAGCACAGATTAAATAAACTATTAATCTCTATCCAAAAGGTGTATTTGCATAGCGATTAAAGCCAAGATCCGGAATATCTCGCAACAAAGGGCTGCACCAACTGATATGTAAATTGTTCAACTTGGACTTACAAAAGCGTTGCGAGTACAGAATCGTTAGCAACTGGAACCAGTAACACTCGTACAATACTAACTGAAAGTGCGCACATTTTATTATATCGCGTGTATTACGAAGTCGTTTATGTGAGATGCTTAAAATTAAATCTCGACCAACTTTTTGTAATTTAGCAACTGTAACTTCAGAAGACTCGGTATGATTATTTGTTTTGTTGAGATATTTTATCTTGAATACTCCATTTGTAAACATTCTGTGGCCATTGGCCATGGCGAAATCCATATCAGGCAGAATGATCGAGTAATGCAGAATGCAGCTCGCTCGCGGGATACTAAAGTAAGGAGTTTAGGTTGATGGAGGTCCGCTTGTGTGCAATCAGTTGATTGATTCACTTCATTTGACCAGAGCTGCTCTAGTGCTATCGCCCGACCCGGTTTATTAGGAGCTGTTTTAAAATTGATTCGTTTCGTCTTTGTGTTAGTTCGAATTGGTACCAATAAAACTGAAGTATCCTGTAATGTAAAATAAATAGGGAGCAATGTAAACTGTTTGCTTATTTATACGATGCTGGTGCTTAAACTGTTAGCTGGTCGTTCGTTTATTTATGTTCATTACAGAAGCTGTGGAACCTGTATTAAAGTTTCTTTAATCGTTTTATAGACCCACCGCAGTCGCGTATCAATTTTAATGGACGCAAAAAGTATTTTATCGAGATGCAATTACGATCGTGGGCGAAACGAAAACATGAACTATTTAAATACAAGTTAATATATTCACAAAGAGGTCTGTGTCCACTGTGCAGTCGATTGAATGTGGAATAAATATGAGTGCAACAATAACCCGCGGCGAGCGGTGCGGCCGGGCGGCGGCGGCGGTGTATGTCCCAGTGCCAACAGTGGAGCATGCTGTGCGTTTTATCATGCAAATGTGCAGTACTGTGCGTGCACCGTGCACTGTGCAGGGCAGCTGCGCGTGCGCCGCCTTGCTTGGCTGGACACAATTTTATTATTAAACGTTTAATCATTATACGACTAATATTACATTATGGACAAGGCAGAGGTATGTAAATGATTGGTCGCGGCTCATTGATTGATGCAGGTGCTGATAATAATAATAGTTGTCCTAATCTAGCGTCGCAACATACACGCTACAATAATTATGTGTTTAATTTGTTAGTACGCCTTTCTACTGTTACAGTTTAACACAAGCATGCATTGGAATTAGTTTGTAAGACAGAAAAAAATGTTGGTGAGTAAATACGAAGCTTTTACGTAAAACCGTATTATTATTTTCTAAGGTATCGTTTCATGGGCACAATTTCTCGATTCCCACCGAGGTGTAACCAAAACAAACATATTACAGGGCAAATCAAAACAAACAATCAAAAGTTTGCGTGTAAATACAAAACAAAGTCGTAAACCCGAAGTGGAGTCAAACAATTGTCCCAACAGTCACAACGGAGCGATCAAAATAAAAACATCGCTATTGACAGAAGGGTTCGTCCGAACGCACCCCTTTTTTAAAGGGCGTGATTTTGAGGTCATTGTGAGCGGTGATAGGGGGCGCCACACATGAGCCAATTATTCTGCAGAAGAGACACTTGGGACAATGCGGGATTTGTGAATGATTTGGATGTAAGGGTTTACTTACTCAGTTAAAAAAGGCTTTAAATTATGCACTAATTGACCATCTCATAGTCATAACTACTACTACTACCTATAAGATTTACAGTAGTCTCTCATATTCATCTACAACAATGGTTTACCAGGTTGTAGTGAATGTAATGGATTTTCTATAGGTATGTAATATATAGTTAGTGCACTGTGGCACGTGGCGCGTGATCACACGCCGCTGCGTGCCAAGTAGCTGGCGCGCTGCGGATGTGTGACAAATTCTCCGGACGTTATATTAGTAGTACTAGACCAGTCTACTACTGGTCTCTATGTCATCAAGATCTACAAAATAGCTATCTATGTGATAAGGGCAGACATCTACTAAACATACCTAAAAACCACAGATATATAATCTGTGCTAAAAACAGTATTTACAACATTGCGTTTGATAAAATGCTAATATTAACGTCGTTAAATACAAATTAAGTGAACACGCATCCATCTTCATTATTAAGAGATTTAAGACAATGATACGGAAGCTTAGCTCTAATCTATACTACCGCTCGCGCCCGGGGGGAAATGGCGCTTTTTGCTGTTCAAGTACTAAGTAAAAGTACGCAAGTGCAAATGAAAGCAGGAGGAGCTGTAACCGACACCATAACCGAATTAAAACCTTGATACAATTCTAAAGCAGGCCCCGTCCTAGGCTTCTTATCAAACGACAATGCGGCTCAACGACACAAATAGTAATAGTTAATCTGTAACCATTGCGTAGTTACAGAGGCGTCGTTAGCCGGCCACGCTGCGCAAACAAGCAATCAACGTGGAAAAATAAAACAAACAGATGTGGTCGTGTCGCGCCTATCAATGTGTTACCATGATGGCGATTCGCTTTTATTTTTATGAGCGTTTTACGAGCCTCAAAAGGATTTGTTTTAGAGCCGTACGTGATAAATGCAGCACTGGGATTGAATAACGTTTGGTACAGTCGTACGGATCCTCGAAAACATTCGCATACATTGGCGACGACTGCCAGGACACGTTTATCACTCGATCCATTCGCAGGCGAGCATACGTCGCGTCGTCTGATTGATGCTGCTGTGTAATGTATGGTCTAGTTGTAGCTTTCATACATATCCACGATATACATTGCTTAACTTTCATACCAAACATTGTTGTTTCAGAGACATGCCTCCATTTTTACACTTTGGTCAGAACTGAGATAATGTAGAGAGAGTAGTGGTGCAGTGGTTACAACACTGGGTGCACGTGGTCAGTCTCGACGAGGTCTGGCCGGACTCAGGACACGTGCGCCGCCTGATCGCACGATAACACAACAAACACCAAATTACCCCAACCTCGGCGTTAAGTTAATTAATTCAAAGTATTTGAAACATTAGTCGCCGCATAATTGAGTGGTTTAAGTGGTTGTTTCAACAGGAATCTAATACGAATCCATTTATCAGATTATTGTACAAGCTCTAATAGTACGGTGCCAAGCGGCAGGCACGCAAGTTTCTATTGATTGATTTTGCATTGGCTGTAGGCTGTTGTATTTGTATTCAATAATGGCCAAGGAATGTTCCAGTTGAGGGTTGTATTGTACCTATGTGTTAATGTTATGTCAGAATGTTCTCTATAAATTATATCTTTATAACTGTAATGTAGTCCAGGCAGGGTATAAAACCCTAGTTTACAAATAAACCGAACAGCAGCGGAATCGGTTTGCAATAAACCGATGCATGTAAATATTAGTGGGAGCAATTACCCGGGAGCGAGTATAAATAGTGGAGCGCGCGATATCCGCGTCTATTACAAGCTAACTGCTTTTACTACATTCTGGGAATGTACGGCGCAGTAAACGACGCTAAGTGCTTACAACGTTACACCCATGTTATACCACCCAGTAGCCAGTACAGTGCACAAACATTACTACGATAACTGCACACAAGCAAATACCCATCAGATGATACATAATGATCCGATTTGATCTACTCGTGATTATGAATCCCAGCCGTGGCTTGAAACGGGTCGAGGAACTTTGTTGAACGTTGTACGAATAAGCCAATCTAATTTATTGATCTGATTGTTGCTCCTATTTTATTTATTTACTACTAATATAACTAAGTATAGTTATTATTATTTCTATACTCCTTATATTTACTCCTTTGAACCTTCTGCACTTTCTTTGAGCTTACTAAGGGCTAATAGGCTAATGACTTTATCGAGGCTCACACCTTGCATTGCTTGCCTACTTCATTAGCCACCGCACACTGCACACAAAGACTCGTAATGTACAGATGTAAGCAGATATGAACACAAAGTATTTCCTGATATTTTCTCAACTAACTTGTAATCAAACCTGAGTCTATCAGATGTAGCTGTACTAAAATATACGTTTCTAACTGTTCGTTGGGAAGTTAGTCTTACGTACTTGCTGAACATTTTTCATAAGTATTGAGTCAAATTCATAAATGTGCTGTAATTTAATTGTTGGATAGGAAATCTGAAATTGCATCTTACACAAACTGACTATACGCATAACATAACATAACATCACGCCTTTTTATCACCGAAGGGATAGGCAGAAGTGCACATTACGGTACTTATTGCCACTGTACAATATAACACCCACTTTTCACTATTTATGTTATGAGTTCCATGTAATAGGGGGTGAGCCTATTGCCATATACCGGGCACGTTTCCAGACACCGTGCAACTACTGAAATTAAAAAAAAACTGACTATCTTTAGGTAAATTAAAACCGTAATAAACAAGAGCAGTTTGATAAAAATGTTAAAATACGAGTATACGAATACATTAAGTACAGAAAGAGAGAAAAAAGACGCGTAGTAACAAAATGCGTAATGAACAGTCAAGAACAAATAAAGACAGAGCACTCAAACAATCAAGCTTAGCATTTTAATTAAGAAAATTAAACAAAGAGACAATTTAATTGAAACGTATCCAGCAACAATTCAACAGGCGCATCGAAAGCAATTTCCCTATTACCGAACAAAGTCAACAAACCCAAGAATTTTAAGTGAACGAACGTATCGTATACGTAAGGCATTAATTAGGGGCTCACGACTGACGGCCGTAGCCGTACTACACCCGGAGATACACTCAGACAGAAGGTGTCCCGAGCGCCGCGTGTGAGGAACATATACGCCACGGTGATGCTAATGAACAGGTGACGTTTGAACAACAGTTCAACCGGGGAATTAATTCATCAAGCTCTTACTTATCAGTTATCACAAGAGAATTGCTGAGGGCTTAAGGCGTTGTCTGTGGTGCTGTGTGATATTTAAGAGTAAGTAAAGTAAATTGTAAAATCGGTTACAGTTTATGCTTCGTGATAGTTACGAGGCGACACAAACTAGCTGACTGTTTCTGGTACGCAGATCAACATTTCTAGCAAATGATGTCATAACGTTCAGTAAAGTTCAGTTGTCTTTCTGCTTTTGCTCTCACTTTGTTCCACCTCTCAATTACTGAGCTAGGGAACTTGAACCGTGCTCGATGCTCGGCGCTCACCAATTGATTGAGTCAACACCGCTTATGAGCATCATTGCCCTTTTTGTTTCGAGTGTTTACCTAAATTAGTAGGCAGGTAACTTGTTTACTTTAGATCCATGTTTAATTTTCTAAATCGTGGGTAAGCGTCCTTCGGGTTCGATAGCTAGAAACAAGGAGAAAAGACATTTTTTAAAAGATCCAATTACAACTTCAGCGAACGTAGAATATTAAAACTTCATTTTGAAAAGGTAGGAGGCGACGTGCGACGCGACAGCAAATTCAATGGAGGCAAGATCGTGTGGAAAATATTTTAAAGAAAATGTTTAGTACATAAATGTGTTCATTTTTGATATTCAGCAAAAATCTGTTTTGAGAAATGTTTCACACAGTTGTCCTCGACTTCGTTAGAATGGCTCCGACGTGCAGGCAGTATGTTTAAATGTTTAGTAAGGCAGGCGCGTACGCACACGGACGAATCAATTAGTTAGTGCCCGCCCCTACATCGGCTTCACAACCGCTTTCCCCGCATTGAGTAAAGGTAGATTTATTAATGTTATGTGATTGCGGTGCATACTTTCCTACCACACTGCGACGGGAACTGGCTCTAAGTCGTACAACTTTATACCTCTCTGTCAGACACGCGGTTTATTATTTCAGTTCTATGTATATTGTAGGTAGAGGTACCTTCTTCTACTCGTACGAAGCGTTGCGCTGCATGGGAGAGTCGGCACACTGCTATCATAACTTGTAAACTAACTCGTCTGAAGTAAACTTTCTCCACGTCTCTCACAGCAATAAAGTAATCAATACCGTATAGTGGAGTAGGTGTGGAGTATGGACCGTGCATCACTCACCAAACATCGATGGATGTACTTCCTATGAGCGCCATTAAACTTGCTTCGCTCAGAGATTGATTAGTTTTATCAAGATCTGAAGTTATTTAGGAACTACACAGGATAATTCGTTTAAAATATTGTATAGCACATTTGTTACGCCATCATAATACAGTATCGTTTGTTATTTCAAACGAATCTATTTAGGACACTATTAGTATGAAATACGAATATCTGTAGATAAGTAACTGCGTTGTCTGCTCAAAGCTCCGCTCAATTGATTTACAACAACAATCCATAATTCTGTTAAATCTGGTTTTGCTTTAGTGAGTAGTTAGTGCCTCCATACACAAACTGAGTACAATCAGTCCCTCACAGATTTAAGTACTTCAATAGAACGTGTTGAATGTGTGAGCTCCGACTACAAACTTAGTTTAGCTTATAGAATCGATTTACTTGTAAGCTATAGACTTGAAACTTTCTCTCGTCTAATTGAATATCAGAGAATTATCAGCGTGTAATTAGCGCGCGAGAGATAACAGCGCGCACTCCATTACCGCGCGCACAGCGGCGGAAGGTAATGCTTCGCGCACTAATCAATTACCTTCGAACCACTTCTATTAACGGAGACTCGCTGTGGCACCTGACACTACATGTATCTTACCAATT